AGTATAAAATTATAAATTCTTAAAGAACCTTCACTGTTATATAGGCAAAGCAAGAACTACCTAAACGACCTCTGCTGTGATAAGTATGCATCGATGCTTCAGTGCAACAGCACATTAGGTCCATTCACTCTTGACAAATGTGAACGTACTCTTAAACTTTCTCAACTGGAGTGAGAATATACAAGATGTCACTTAATATACAATTCTGTGGAACAAGTAAAGACAAACCCAGTTTTTTCCAAAATAACCTCCTGTGGCACGAGATAAGGTTTTCTTTTTGGTTGTTTACTTTCAAACCCAAGCTGTAAAACAGAACTTGACATTCATTTGGCATTAGCCAATCATTCGAGTAGCTCTCTACTTTCTTTAATACATAACCCTTATATATCTCATTAAAGCACTCCCAAGACGCTCTTAATTTTAACCCTGCTCCTTGACTTAACCACCCCTCTCTGCTATTGAAACTTCTTAATTTGCATCAGACAAAGACTACTCATCTCTTCAGGAGAGCAGCCACTGGCTGGGCGCTCCACTGGCTGCTCTAGCTTATTTCATTGCAAGATCGGGTTATTCACAAAGGTATTTTTTCTGAATAACTTGGTCTTGCAATGAAATCAGCTAGAGCAGACCCCTGGGCACCGAGATGCATGGAGCCAGAAACACAAATAAGCCTTTCCTAATGGATATTGATAGAGGACTACGGTCTACAGAAACTACAGAAGAATAAAATCATGTTATGGAGAATTTCCTATAAGTTAAAGAAATCAATTACACAGAGCTTTAAAGAGCATTAGTTTATTATCTATTCTCCATGTGTTACCTCAGAAACAGTCTAATTATATACAAAAATATGGAATGTTGAATAAATGCTGATCAATAAAAACATTTCATAGCTGTTGACAAGGTAATATTTCTAAACAAAACCAAAATAATCATAAAGGTTTGATTCTGTGTGTTGCTTATTGCTATGTTTGTGTTCATAGAATGCTTTCAAGTATATACACATTTTTTAACTCCAGTCCAAAAAAGAAACTCAAAAATATTTACATAATAAATATGCAGGAGACTTCATCTTTTCATTATATCAGTTGAACTGATTCTTTAATGACCTATTAAGAATAGAAAGAATTAACAGAGTTTGCATCAACTCGTTGCCATACTGAGTAACTTAGGCTGCTGATGGATTTTATTCTATTCAAAATGTAGTTTAAGATGCATTCAAAATGAAAAGTAACAATATTGTCTCTCCTCCTGCTGCATCC